AACAGAACCTCATATACTTCTTAATTATCAACCATTAAACAGTATGTATTTTTTATTCTACACATTTAAAATACATATCACTTATATATATATATATATATATATATATATATATATATATATATATATATATATATATATATATATATATATATATATATATATATATATATATATATATATATATACTGTATATATATATCCTTTACATGTAGAGTTAAGTGATATTACCTATAGGGACGCGTGGCGGAGGTGATGGTTATTATTATTCACGTTAAGTATAAGGTGGTGGACGGTCGTGTGTGTGTATAGCAACAGAGTTAACACGACGCCGCCAGCCAACACATTAGTCTTATGTGAGCCAGTACGTGTGTCGCCTCATTAATATACAGGTGTACTCCCCTCGTGTTACCCTGCTGTTCAGCCTTCACCTAGCCCCTCGTACCCTTCATCAGTCCATCAAGCCCTCTCCTAGCCCCCAATACCCTCCTCAAGCCCTCTCCTAGCTCCCGCAATATTCCCCCCCACCACTGTCTCGACCCTCCGTCATGCCTTTAGGTATTGGATACTATGATCATCACTTGTTATTAGTTGCTATTTATACCTGTAATAGTCGTGTTGTCACCTCTGTGGTGATCGTCTTTGGCAGGTGTATTGTGGAGCTCTCAGGTGACCTTTGTCAACACCTGTAATTGTTGTGGAGGGAGGAGGGGTGGGTGTTATGGGAGGTAAGGAGGGGTGAGTGTTGGGAGGGAGGAAGGGTCAGTGTTGGGAGGGTGGAGGGGCTAGTTTTTGGGAGGGAAGGAAAGGTAAGTAGAAGAATGAGGAGGGGGGGGTGTTATGGGAGGGAAGGAGGGGGGAGGGGCATTATCTACCTGAATTCCTCACCACTTTATTACGGCTCCTGAGGGGGAAGGGTTCAGAGGTATATAGTCCGCTGGAGAAGAAGATGGGGATGTGGCCATGGGTGTTAAGGGCTCGGGGGCGACACATACCTCTCCTCACGACCCACTACTGATATGGTATTTCTTCTTCAGGATACTCTTACACCTAGCCCTTCGTCAGTAGTACCACCTAACCTTTCACACAACCAAGATGATAATACTAAAAATAATAATAATAATAATAATAATAATAAGAAGAAGAAGAAGAAGAAGAAGAAGAAGAAGAAGAAGAAGAAGAAGATTACTCTCTACAGCACAATTCACAAGGTTTATGAAGACATATTTGAGGTACACCTGTTTAGGGCTTTATGTGGGGGAGGAAGAGGAAGGGAAGAAGGAAGAGGAGGAAGAAGGAAGAGGAGGAAGAAGGAGGAGGAGGGAGATGATGGCTTCGACCCCCTGAACTTGAGATTAGAAAGTGAGAGTGAAAGTGAACCTTGTCTTAACTTGTCCCCCCCCCCTCAAAAAAAGGTGGTAGTGGTGGTAGTTGTTCATACTGACTCCTGGTATGGTATGGTATGGTATGGTATGGTATGGTGGTAGTAGTAGTGGTGGTAGTTGTTCATACTGACTCCTGGTATGGTATGGTATGGTATGGTATGGTATGGTGGTAGTAGTAGTGGTGGTAGTTGTTCATACTGACTCCTGGTATAGTATGGTAATGGTTGTCTTTATTCATCCCCTCAACTAAGCAAAGTTATTGGAGAAGCGATACACATTAGTCTGTCTGTCTGTTAGGTCAAAGGTCAAGGTCACTCAAGACACAAATCCTTGAAGAAATCTGTCCATAATCTGACTCGTCTTTATGAGGTATTTGAACATTTTATGACCAGTCTTGTTGCTTGGAGCGTAGGGATCCCCCACCCCCTCCGCTAGCCTCTCACACGCACTCTCATAAATGTTCACAATAACATAAACTCATAGATGCTCAAAATGACTCAAAAGTGATTCACAGATGCTCAAAATGACTCAAAATTGATTCACAGGTGGTCAATGTGACTCAAAAGTGATTCACAGATGCTCAAAATGACTCAAAAGTGATTCACAGATGCTCAAAATGACTCAAAAGTGATTCACAGGTGGTTAATGTGACTCAAAAGTAATTCACATGTTTTCATAGTGATACCAAAAAAGAGACATAGAGACAGACAAAGAAAGCAAGAGAGTAAGATAACTCGACAAAAAAAGAGAGAGGGGGAAAAAAGATAACGATAGAGAAAGAGAAGAGAGAGAGAGAGAGAGAGAGAGTGTGTGTGTGTGTGTGTGTATGTGTGTGTGTGTGTGTGTGTGTGTTAAACAAAGAATATAACTGTGAATTACAAAAGAGAGAGAGAGAGAGAGAGAGAGCAACGTCATTAACACCTGAGTGTAGGTACGCCGGAAATTACCTTGGCAGCCGGAAGTGAGTTGTTTTCCTTAACTTGATATTCTGTCTAGGCCAAAAAAATAAATCTCAGTGCCAGGCTTAGGTTAGATTAGGTAAGGTCAGGTTAGGTTAGGTCAGGACTGGTTAGGTGGGTCAGGCCTGGTCAGGTTAGGTGGAGTCAGGCCTGGTCAGGTTAGGTTAGGTCATGACTGGTTAGGTTAGGTCAGGCCTGGTCAGGTTAGGTTAGGTCAGGCCTGGTTAGGTTAGGTTAGATTATAGTTTCCGGGTTAATTGTGACGTCTTTGTTTTGTTGCTTACGTAGCCAAAAAAAAAATCCTAATGTGTCAAAAGCACTGAATGGGTTAAATACCTTCCAGTAACTCCATTTAGGGTTCAAACTAACGTAAGAACCTTTTAAGAATCTATATTAGAGTCGCAGTTTAACCCTTTGGGACATGGAGAGTTAAATCAGCGTCTTTAAAGGGTTAATTCATAGTCCCCCAAAGGATTAAACCATCGTCTTCAAAGGGTTAAATCATCGTCCTCCAAGGGTTGAACCATAGTCGTCAAAGGGTTAAACCATAGTCGTCGAAGGGTTAAATCATAGTCGTCAAAGGGTTAAACCATAGTCCTCAAAGGGTTAAATCATCGTCCTCAAAGGGTTAAATCATAGTCGTCAAAGGGTTAAATCATCGTCCTCAAAGGGTTAAATCATAGTCCTCAAAGGGTTAAATCATCGTCCTCAAAGGGTTAAATCATCGTCGTCGAAAGGTTAAGTGAAACAATTAGATGTTAAAGGAATGCAATTAACTTAAAGAGACCCCTTGAGAATCCATCTTAGTGTCGTAACATTAGACAAGTTACAATCTTCATATCTCCAGTTGTATGAGAAAAAAAGACTAGGAACGTATTGAGTATCCTTAGGTAGGTGTCCTTCCCGCCCTCTGCCACATTGTTAAGGTCAATGCCACCAGACACGGACGTCACAGAATAATATGGAACGTACCCGGTGGCGTTTTATTTCTGTTATTATTGTGGTGTTGGTTTGTGAAGCTCCTCATTGGTGGCACCTCACGCTAAGGGGGACATTTAGCGGATGAGGTGGCCGGGATAGTTGTGATGAAGGGTGAGGGGTGGTGGTGAGTGGGGAGAGGCTGGTGACAGGAGGTGAGGTAGGGGTGAGTGGGTAGAGGCTGGTGGTGAAGGTGAGGTAGGGGTGGTGGTGAGGGTGAGTAAGAGGCGGGTGGTTAAATGGTGAGAGGAGGGTGATGAGTGGGGGGTAGGAGTGGTGTTGAGGGTAAGAGGAGGGTGGTGAAAAGTGAGTTGTAAGGTGAGGGGTGGTAGTAATGAGGGGTGAGGGTGGTGAAGGTAAGGGGGGGCTGAATGAGTGTTCAGTGGCACTACCAATTATATCCACACACTCCTCCTGCAGCAGAGAGAGAGAGAGAGATTAATCAGACGCTACTCACACACACGAACAGGTAAGCTTCTATACCTGTATTAGTTCAATATTTAAATGTGGGTCAAACAAGTTTATATTGGTTCACCTTAGTAATTGAACTTGAGTAGGTACATGGGCGGCTATTTTTATGCTGAGTGGGTGTAGAGAGACGACCTCCCACGTGGTATAATAATTAGAGAGCTGGGCATACTAGTGGTGAGTGGGAGGGAAGGAGAGAAGATGGGCTATGATGAGTGGGAGATGGAAGGGGAAGGTAGGACGCCCACACACACACACACACACATATTTTTTCATAACCTAACTTAACCAAAGCATCAACAGTGTTCTCATGTCACACACGTTATCCCTTGTCTACTTTTTTAAACCAATCAGGGTGATTTTAATCTGGCAATAGTGTTAAGTGACGAGCATCCAGCGTCCGTAAACAAAAACAGGGGCAACACAGCCTCGAGGGGGCTAACGTAATAACGGTATGAATATAGCCTATATATATATATGTATATATATATATAATATATGCATAAATCACTGTAGGTGCGCGTGATCCAGGTATATGGTTATCAATATATATATATATATATATATATATATATATATATATATATATATATATATATATATATATTTATTTATTTATTTATTTATTTATTTATTATTTTTTTTTGGGGGAGGTTAGGTTAGTTAGGACAAATTTATGAAAGAAGAATATGTGTGTGTGTGTGTGTGTGTGTGTGTGTGTGTGTGTGTGTGTGTGTGTGTGTGTGTGTGTGTGCAAGCTTGTTCGGTCACCTCGAAAGAAAAGTTTGAGTCTTAAAGTCAATGAAAATTATGACCATGTTTGTAATTTTAGTGAAGCGTTTAGTGTTGCCCGGTGTAGGAGGGCCGAGTCATGCTCACACCGAGGTTTGGGTTTCCATCGTTTTCATTGTTTTCCATGTGTTATCCTTCGTCGCGGGGGGCGGAGCCAAGCGTCAATTGCCGAGTGTCTCCGGGGAACAGACTCTCCACCATACAGAGTGCCACATGGGTTTGTCTCTTAGTTTTCGTCCATATTTGGTGATTTTTATGTAAGATGGTTGATTGATGTAGGGTTAGTTTGTGTTAGGATGTCATTTGTGGAGAACTAGGGAAAGAGTTGAGGGTGGAGGCGACTCAACAGGTGGAGTGTAGGAGTGTGTGGCTCACCTGCCTGCCCGGGCCGAGTCCTGAGTTGTGTCGGGCTCGGTCACTCTGCCAGTTGCCCGCCACTCGTCGCGGTGATAACGTGCAGCCGCTCCGCTCTCCACTCCCATCGCGACGTTGCCTTCGCCCTAACTGTTGTTCAACTCCACTTTATTCAGTCGTCACCAGAGTGGAGTTGGAATTTCCTTTACTCAGAACAACGCGAACAACCTAAGTGTCGCGATATTTTTTGAGTATTAGAATTTAAAGACAAAATACGTAATCTTAGGGTGAAAAAAATTGGTGCAAGACGAGTGTGCGGAGATACCGGGCCAGTTTTTATCTTGGTGTGCACATGACGTTGGCTCAGTTACAAGTAAACTCTCGTGCTGTGAACCTTCTTCCTTCTGTTTATAACCGATAACCAGACGATTGTGATAAGATACGACGAGGTTATGATAATGTAGTGTGTGAGGGTTGACGGAGCCTCCGCTGTTAGTGTCTCAGTGTCATACCTGTCGAGCACACACACATACACTCACACACGCACGCACACACACGCCACTGCCACCACCATCAGCGCCGCCACAAGGTCAAGATCACCGCCACCTCCTCGCCACCACCGCAGCACACTCACTCGCCACCACAGTGTCACCACCACCTGACACCTAAGTTGTCCTCTTCCTCGTTAACTTTCTGACTGAGGAAAGCCGAGTGAAAGGAAAAGTTATCGTGGACGTGACCCGGTAACCGGCGTGACCTGACCCACATATTACGCTGCCCCATTCACCCATGGGCTGACTGGTGTACACTTGACCCAGACGAGCCTGGCAGCCATTCATAGTGAGAGTGGCAGTGATGAGTGACCGCCCTCCTCACCTGAAGATGGCACCAGCGGCGCCTCTCCGCCACCCCACGGGATGTGCTTGCTTCTGATGACCTTCGTCTCTATCGTATATTGACCCTCATCAACATACATATATATTTTTCTGTTCCCAAGTGAGTTATCAGACTGTGTACAGTGGGTATCAGACTTGGTGACAATCAGTCGATAGTGACAATAGCTCAAAGTTCCACACGTATGGCCAAGGTGCTGACGACGGGTCGTGTCGGTGGAATGTATGTGTTGGGGTCTGGTGTCGCCACACTCAACCTCTCAGCCATGGGGGACGAAAGCTGCTCCGAGGTGTCCAGTTCCTCGCCCCACACCAGCCCCGGGGCCCTCTCGCCCCCAGCACTCGTCAGCGTCGGCGTCAGCGTGGGTATGAGCCCCCCGACCTCCCTTGCCTCCTCCGACATCGGCGAGGTTGACCTGGACTTCTGGGACCTGGACCTCAACTCGCACAGTCCTCCTCACGGCATGGCGGCGGCGGCCTCTACCACCACCTCCTCCGGTCAACCCCAGGAGCCTCACCGCGCTCTCTGACACCTCCTCCTCTCCAGGTACTGTCAGGCCTCCCCTTCCGTCTACCTGTCATACATACGTCCTGTTCCATGTCCTAACTGTCAACCGCCTTCATTTTTGTGCCCCGTACATGTCTTTACTCACCCTCCCTCCTCTCACACGCTTCCTTGCTGTTACTGCCAATCATTTTCATTCACTGTCACGTGTTCCTTCTGCCCTTACATCGCCAGCCTTAACACAACCCTGAAATATTCCCAACTGCCAGACACTTGTAGCACAACCCTGAGACACTGTGACGCAACCCTGAAACATCATCTGCCCCCCCTACATTAAGGTTCTCCACCAAGTGTTGCAGTGTTGGTCCGGGCATATCCACAGGACCAACACGCCGCAGCAGTATATTCTTGGCATACTCTGGGCATCGCTGTGTAGTATGCCCTGTGTTGTATTATATTGTTCTTGTACATGATGTCAGGTAACCTTAGTATCTGTACTCTTTTATAATGTACCCACTTGTGTTAGTCACACTGACCTACATCCTTACCAACATTCTCTCCTAATATTCGGGCTTTTTAATGAATATATTCTTGTGTTATTAATAGAAAACTGTAAGAAATGCGATAAGGGCCACTCGGTGTTATCTTTGATGTTACATTACCAAGATAACAGGAGACAATATAGAAGAGGACCTATATTCTTAAAGACTCGTAACTATAACCCTTTGAGGACGATTATTTAACCCTTTGAAGAAGATGAGGATGATGATTTAACCCTTTGATGATAATGATTTAACCCTTTGATGATGATGATTTAATTCTGATGATGCTTTAACCCTTTGTTGACGATGGTTTAACCCATTGTTGACGAGGGTTTAACCCTTTGATTACGATAGTTTAACTCCGAGGACGATAATTTAACCCTCTTAGGTATATGGGTTAACCCTTTGAGGATGTTGGTTTAACCTTTTCAGGACGATGGTTTAACCCTTTGAGGACGATGGTTTAAAGATCACCTGAAGATTAGACACACCTTACCGTTACCCAGAGTGATTATATTAGGTTAGGTTAAGTTGGATTTGGTTAGGTTAGAGAGGTTAGGTTAGGATGAGGTTAGGTTAGGTTAGGGTTAGGTTAGGTTAGGGTTAGGGTTAGGTTAAGTTGGATTTGGTTAGGTTAGGTTAGGTTAGATTTGGTTAGCGTTAAGTCAGGTTAGAGTTGGTTGATTAGGTTGGAAGTAGACTGGACTAGTTTAAATTAGGTTATGTGTGTATGTATGTGTGGTTAGGTTAGATTAGGTCTGCGTTAAGTGGTTAGATTAGGTTTGGTTTGGTTTGGTTAGATTATATTTTCATTAGGTTGGCTTAGGTTAGGTTAGGTTAGATGTGATTTACTTTTGCTTGGGTCAAATTAGGTAAAGTGTTAAGTTGGGTTAAGTCAAGTCAGCGTTACCACCAGTTAAGAAGGTGAAATTAACCTATAATGGGGAGGTTAATATCCAGGGAGTCACGTTTTGGGGTGGTAAATTATCCAGGGAGTCACATTTTGGGGAGGTTAATATCCAGGGAGTCACGTTCTGGGGAGGTTAATATCCAAGGAGTCACGTTTTGGGGAGGTTAATTATCCAGGGAGGAGTTATCCAAGGAATCATATATGAGGGAGGTTAATTATCCTGGGAGGAGTTAACCAGGGAGTAACATATAAGGGAGGTGAGTTATCCAGGCCACCACCGTCACCTTGTGTGTGTTGGGGCGGTGGTCTCCTTGACTCCGGAGTTCCACGTCCAGGTGATTGTCTTACGTCACTTCCACCTAGGCCAAGCACAGCCACCACGCTCATTGTCAAGGTTCCTCCTCTCTCACACACACCCACAGGGCCCCTCCCTCTCTACCACACCACAGGGCTCCCTCCCCACACACTACAGGGCTCCCCCTCCCCCACCATACACTACAGGGCTCCCTTCCCCACCATACACTACAGGGCTCCCTTCCTCCCTACCATACACCACAGGGCCCTCCCTCCTCACCACACCACAGGCCCTCCCTCCTCCACCACACACCACAAGGCTCCCTCCCCACCATACACCACAGGGCTCCCTCCCTCCCCACACACTGGGGCCCCCTCCCCACCATACACTACAGGGCCCCCTCTACCATACACTTCAGGGCCCCTCCCCTCTCTACCATACACCATGGCCCTCCCCAAGCACTGAGACTCGAGGAAGCAACTGCCCTTCAGGAACTTTTGTTCTTCAATGGGAGAACTATGTGGGTCATGTGTATTGTGTTCATGGAGTTCGGTGTGTGTGTGTGTGTGTGTGTGTGTGTGTGTGTGTGTGTGTGTGTGTGTGTGTGTGTGTGTGTGCGTGTGTGCGTGCGTGCGTGTGTGTGTGTGTGTGTGTGTGTGTGTGTGTGTGTGTGGGTGAGGTGCAAGTAGACCTGAGGGTGCAGGGTAGCAGCAACAGGCTGTCTGGTTACGTGGGTGGCTTGTGTCCCCCGCCATGATAAGGGAGCACTGACCTAAATATACCCTATCACCGAGGAGAACCGCCGATAACACGTGTCAGGCTCGCCGCTGTGTTGTGTGACGGTCGACTACCTTTGTATTGAGATAGTCTACTCCAAGGCTGTCCGGAGTGGGGCTTCTGGCACCTTGAGGGGCTATCTTAATTTCCCACACCTGACCTTCTTCGTGGTTTACTCAGTCGGGGGAGGGATAGGGGGCCAGGGAGGGATGGGTGGTGGGGGGTAGTGGAGGGCCTTGTTGTCTCCTGGGGCGTCTCGGGTTATCATCAGGTTTTGTGGTGACGATACACTACACGGGATCCACTACTACTCTATCTCCCTACTGTAGTCGAGTACTGTTTAAAAGCATCACAAATAATCATTGTTATTGGTATTTTGTGTTAATTTTTTTTATCAGTGTCAAACTATGGTCGCGTTTATCCATTGTACTTGAGAGTTGAGGCTTTGGCACAACAGTGTATCCATAATGCTGAAGTTCAATTTAGAGTCCAGGGTCTCTAGTCTGTCACAAGTTCGTGAACATTTGACACGGCTCCGAACGCAAGTGCTACAGCAGTGCTATATCACGTTTATCTACTGAAGAAGGCGGTGCTTGTGACTGGTGATGGTGGTTGTTGCTTGTGACTGGTGATGGTGGTTGTTGCTTGTGACTGGTGATGGTGGTTGTTGCTTGTGACTGGTGATGGTGGTTGTTGCTTGTGACTGGTGATGGTGGTTGTTGCTTGTGACTGGTGATGGTGGTTGTTGCTTGTGGCTGGTGATGGTGGTTGTTGCTTGTGACTATGATGGTGGTTGTTGCTTGTGACTGGTGATGGTGGTTGTTGCTTGTGACTGGTGATGGTGGTTGTTGCTTGTGGCTGGTGATGGTGGTTGTTGCTTGTCTCGTTATTGTGGTTAAAATGTCGCTAGTCATGTTTAGTATGTGGACCACAGTCTCCTCACTGCCTGGAAGCTCGGCTGAACAAAGCGACGATGTTTTTTGCGTTACTGAATTGAGTACAATGGAATTTTAGACACTGGAAGGTGAGTGTATGACGTGCATGGATAAGAGCGGATGTTTTTATGTGTTTATGTATGTTTATGTACTTTTATGTGTAGTGAATGACATATTACAACATAAACACAAAAGTTGGAACAGTGTCAAGGTTACGCACTTCGAGGTTGACGACGTAACTAGACATGTTCTCTTGCCAGTGAGGAGGAAAGGAAATCTTTGACCCAGGAAGCTGTAGCCAGTTGGGTTAGGTTAGGATTTGGTTAATAAAGTTAGGTTAGGTTTAGTAGAGCTGGGGTAGGTTAGGTAGAGCTGGGGTAGGTTAGGTAGAGCTGGGGTAGGTTAGGTAGAACTGCTAGGTTAGGTAGAGCTGGGTTAGGTTAGGTAGAGCTGGGTTAGTTTAGGATTAGGCTGTGAGTTAGGATTTGTAACAGGGAAGTCTTTCAGAAGTTGAGTATGTCCCCAGAGAGAACCACACCCCAGAGATAACCACACCCCCAGAGATAACCACACCCCAGAGGGAACCACACCCCAAGAATCATGTTTCCCCAGAGAGAACTATATCCCCAAAGAGAATCACACCCCAAGAGAACCACACCCCAAAGAGAACCACACCTCCCAGAGAGAACCACACCCCCAGAGATAACCACACCCCCAAAGAGAACCACACCTCCCAGAGAGAAACCACAACCCCAGAGATAACCACACCCCAAAGAGAACCCACACCTCCCAGAGAGAACCACACCGGAGATAACCACAACCCCCAGAGAGAACCATACCCCCAGAACCCACCCATATCACCTACACTCTTACTTTCAAATGTGTTGTCTCTGGGGATAATCTTATCAGTACAGTAAGATAAACTTTCTCCTTAGTGGTAATACTTAAGGCGGTAAAACTTCAGGCAGTAATCTTCAGGCGGTAATATCAGGTGGTAATATCAGGCGGTAATACTTCAGTTGGTAATACTTCAGGTGGTAATACATCAGGCGGTAATACTTCAGCTGGTAATACTTCAGGCGGTAATACATTCAGGCGGTAATACTTCAGTTGGTAATACTTCAGGCGGTAATACTTCAGGCGGTAATACTTCAGGCAGTAATACTTCAGTGGTGGTAATACTTCAGTTGGTAATAATACTTCAAGTGGTGTACATTCAGGCGTAATACTTCGGGAGGTAATACTTCAGCAGTAACATTTCAGGTGGTAATACCAGCTGTAATACTTCAGGCGGTAATATCAGGCGGTAATACTTCAGGTGGTAATACTTCAGGCGTAATACTTCAGGCGGTAATACTTCAGGTGGTAATACTTCAGGTGGTAAAATTTGGCAGTAATACTTCAGTGGTAATCAGTTGGTAATACTTCAGGCGGTAATACTTCAGGTGGCAATACTAGGTGGTAAAATTTCAGGGTAATACTTCAGTGGTACATTGTGTGGTAATACTTCAGGCGGTAATACTTCAGGTGGTAATACTTCAGGCAGTAATACTAGGTGGTAATACTTCAGTTGGTAATACTTC